AGGCCCCAATAATAATAATAATAATAATAATAATAATAATAATAATAATAATAATAATAATAATAGGCCCCAATAATAATAATAATAATAATAATAATAATAATAATAATAATAATAGGCCCCAATAATAATAATAATAATAATAATAATAGGCCCCAATAATAATAATAATAATAATAATAATAATAATAATAATAGGCCCCAATAATAATAATAATATTAGGCCGCCAATAATAAATAATAATAATAGTACCTAGTAATAATAATAATAATGATGATAATGATGATGGTGATGATTGCACTTATATTGCTTATATCCACAACCTACAGTATGCTCTGTGTCCTTTACAAAACTTAAAGCTCAGAAGTCATGGGGCTTTGGCTTCACCAACGAAGATGCAAATGATTTTTTGGGGAAAAAATTAACACCAACACTGCCCCCGTTCTATAGATATTAAAATTTAATACTTGGTAAAACAGAATATTTCTTGGAGAATCGCCATTAATATTATATGGACTTGCAATAATTAATATAGATATTCGTGTAGGCCTACTATCATCGTGATTTATCGTCTGTCGCTGGCGTCAAGTTCACCCTTGTGACATCACAAGGGTGGGAAGAGCTTTGCAACCTGTGGGCAGGAGATTTGAGTTATGCTGGTTGGTTCAATAATTTTTGTTTCAGAAAATGAAATGAAAATATGAGCGTTTATGTTCTGAAGTTGAGTTGAGTTTTAAAATATTGATATTTTCCTTGTGATGTCATTGTCAGGTTCGTCTGGGTGTTGTGTGCGCCTTTATTGTGAGTGTTTGTGTGTGTGTGTGTGTGTGTGTGTGTGTGTGTGTGTGTGTGTGTGTGTGTGTGTGTGTGTGTGTGTGTGCGTGTTTGCGTGTGTGTGAGAGAGAGAAAGGGAAAGGGACAGACAGACAGACAGACAGACAGACAGACAGACAGACAGACAGACAGACAGACAGACAGACAGACGTGCGTGCCGACGGGCAGACAGACAGACAGGCAGACGTGCGTGCCGACGGGCAGGCAAGCAGACAGGCAGATAGACAGACAGACAGACAGACCGACAAAGAAAAGAGTGTGTGTGTGTGTGTGTGGGGGGGGGGGGGTGTTATAAGGCTATGTATGAACGTGTGTTAGTGTGTATGTGTAGGTGCACGTGTGTCTGTGCGAGTGCCTGTGTGTGTGTGTGTGTGTGTGTGTGTGTGTGTGTGTGTGTGTGTGTGTGTGTGTGTGTGTGTGTGTGTGTGTGTGTGTGTGTGAGAGAGAGAGAGAGATAGAGAGAGGGGGAGAGATTTAGAGAGAGAGGGGGAGGGGGGGAGAGCATGTTGTTGTTGTTTTTTAATTTTTCTTTTGCTTGTTTTACTTGTTTATGTGTTTGTAGATACGTACCTGAATGACTTCGATGATCTCGATATTGCCGTTGCCTGCAGAGTAAGACACGTATGAAAATCAGTGAATACATTTTTCAAATGATCATTAGGTCATCAGTCAGCTAATCTAAGGAAAGATTCTTTAGGAATCTAAACGAACTGTCTATTATGCGCGTGATTAGTTGAAGTACTGGCTCACTCAAGATAGATATATAAGTAAAAACACAGTCTTCAAATTAAATGTTTTTATCTGTTGTAAAGTAACAGTACAGCAAAGAGATACATTAATTTTAAGAAAGATACTTAATTGGGATACATAAATTCTGACGTTTCTTCTTTTAATGTTAACCCCCTTACTACCAGGCCAGAAACGAGTGATAGAGCAGGTAGAGAAAATGTGCATTCTTGTGTTTCATAAAGTTCAGTTTATGGGCAGGAGAATTCATTCCACTTTTTTGTTTTTGTTTGTTTGTTTTTGTAAAGTGTTTTACGGCGCTCGCAACTGCATAAGGTCATGTGAGCGCGCGGGACACACCTAATATTTTCAGTTGGTAGGAAATTTTGAATTTTGCCCGGGTGGCGGCCGAAGCCTACTCTTATCGATTTTAGACCACCAAGGGATCTTTAACGTGCGCAACTTGCACACGGGCCCTCCGAGATTTTTCGCCCTTGTCCGAGAAAGCTAGGTGTAGATCTTTCCTACCAGAAGATCAGGGGTGTGGCAGAAAGACAGCAGTAAGGAGGAGCCAAGGAGGAGCATTTAGAAAGGCTGCGGAAAGTGTCAGGAGCCCAGAGGAAGGGGCAAAGGAGGTGAGGGGGTGGGGGCAGAAAGTGGAAATGAAAGCAGACAACAGAGCATTTTAGAGAAGAAAATGTTTTGGTCCCTACCCGGATTCGAACCCGGGACCTTTGAATGAGAGGCCAACACCTTAACCTCTAGGCCACGAGAGCCCCTACTTTTTTGTTTGATCCAGAAGTTTGGTAACGTTATTTACTTCTCCGAAACCAATCGCTCAAAATTAAATACTAACAGATTCCTGTGTTGTAATCGACTGTCGAGGAGCAAGGGGGAGAGGGAAGGAGGGGTGGGGTGGGTATGGTGAGGTAAAGGATGTTTACTTTGTTTTTAGAAACATTATACTCATAATCCAACCAAAGATCCCTATACAGCGTTCGGCCAGGCAGCAAATGCGTTCAGGTACGCATCTACAAACACACAAACAAGGAAAACAATCAAAACAACAATCAAACAACAACAACATGCTCCCCCTCTCTCTCT